GTGGATTCCAACTCAGTGGATTCCAGGCCAGTGGATTCCAGGCCAGTGGATTCCAGGCCAGTGGATTCCAGGTCTGGATTCCAGGCCAGTGGATTCCAGGCCAGTGGATTCCAGGTCTGGATTCCAGGCCAGTGGATTCCAGGCCAGTGGATTCCAGGCCAGTGGATTCCAAGTCAGTGGATTCCAGGCCAGTGGATTCCAGGCCAGTGGATTCCAGGCCAGTGGATTCCAAGTCAGTGGATTCCAGGCCAGTGGATTCCAGGCCAGTGGATTCCAGGCCAGTGGATTCCAAGTCAGTGGATTCCAGGCCAGTGGATTCCAGGCCAGTGGATTCCAGGCCAGTGGATTCCAGGTCTGGATTCCAGGCCAGTGGATTCCAGGCCAGTGGATTCCAGGCCAGTGGATTCCAGGCCAGTGGATTCCAAGTCAGTGGATTCCAGGCCAGTGGATTCCAGGCCAGTGGATTCCAAGTCAGTGGATTCCAGGCCAGTGGATTCCAGGCCAGTGGATTCCAGGCCAGTGGATTCCAGGCCAGTGGATTCCAGGCCAGTGGATTCCAAGTCAGTGGATTCCAGGCCAGTGGATTCCAGGCCAGTGGATTCCAAGTCAGTGGATTCCAGGCCAGTGGATTCCAGGCCAGTGGATTCCAAGTCAGTGGATTCCAGGCCAGTGGATTCCAGGCCAGTGGATTCCAGGTCTGGATTCCAGGCCAGTGGATTCCAGGCCAGTGGATTCCAGGCCAGTGGATTCCAGGCCAGTGGATTCCAAGTCAGTGGATTCCAGGCCAGTGGATTCCAGGCCAGTGGATTCCAAGTCAGTGGATTCCAGGGCAGTGGATTCCAGGCCAGTGGATTCCAGGCCAGTGGATTCCAGGTCTGGATTCAAGGCCTGTGGATTCCAGGCCAGTGGATTCCAGGCCAGTGGATTCCAGGCCAGTGGATTCCAGGTCTGGATTCAAGGCCTGTGGATTCCAGGCCAGTGGATTCCAAGTCAGTGGATTCCAGGCCAGTGGATTCCAGGCCAGTGGATTCCAGGCCAGTGGATTCCAGGTCTGGATTCAAGGCCTGTGGATTCCAGGCCAGTGGATTCCAAGTCAGTGGATTCCAGGCCAGTGGATTCCAACTCAGTGGATTCCAGGCCAGTGGATTCCAAGTCAGTGGATTCCAGGCCAGTGGATTCCAGGCCAGTGGATTCCAGGTCTGGATTCAAGGCCTGTGGATTCCAAGTCAGTGGATTCCAGGCCAGTGGATTCCAGGCCAGTGGATTCCAGGTCTGGATTCCAGGCCAGTGGATTCCAAGTCAGTGGATTCCAGGCCAGTGGATTCCAACTCAGTGGATTCCAGGCCAGTGGATTCCAGGCCAGTGGATTCCAGGCCAGTGGATTCCAGGTCTGGATTCCAGGCCAGTGGATTCCAGGCCAGTGGATTCCAGGTCTGGATTCCAGGCCAGTGGATTCCAGGCCAGTGGATTCCAGGCCAGTGGATTCCAAGTCAGTGGATTCCAGGCCAGTGGATTCCAGGCCAGTGGATTCCAGGCCAGTGGATTCCAAGTCAGTGGATTCCAGGCCAGTGGATTCCAGGCCAGTGGATTCCAGGCCAGTGGATTCCAAGTCAGTGGATTCCAGGCCAGTGGATTCCAGGCCAGTGGATTCCAGGCCAGAGGATTCCAAGTCAGTGGATTCCAGGCCAGTGGATTCCAGGCCAGTGGATTCCAGGCCAGTGGATTCCAAGTCAGTGGATTCCAGGCCAGAACCTTCTTGCTTCAAGGCAGAAGTGTTTCCCGCTGCGCCGCCAAATGAAAATAATACTTTTTCTTTTTTTTTTTACTTTTAGTTATGTTATCATCATACATGAAGATTAACTGCATATTAGCTCTGAACTTCACCAAAGAAATAATTAGATTTATTTTATTTTTAATAACTGAAAAACTTTTGGATTTTGCCTTTTTTTTTTACTCTCTTCTGAATTTCAGAAGGAAAACTTTTGATCAACGATTTAAAAATTATTTACATGATTTTGATAAGAATAATCCACAGTTTCAAATAAAATTATTTGTTGACATAATTAAATAATGAGCTAAATTCTTCGTGTTTGAAACCAAACCATTAAATCAATATTTGTTTGATTTGCTTTAATCTAAAAAATACGGCAAAACAAAAGAGGAATATAAATAATTTAACTTTTTTCCATTTAACAAATCTTTTTTTTTGAAAAATGAAAAATTAGATCTTTTAATTTTGTTTCTACTTTATTTGATATGAATCTTCTAATTTGGTCAAAACTGGCCTTAAAAATATATTCTTTAAACTTGATCAATTTCAAATCAATTTCTCTATGGATTTTATTCTACTCTATTCTTTATTTATTTATTTGTAGCTTTGGCTACCAGATAGAATCATGAGTTTATATTTATTTTCATTTAATAATGTATAACTCCTTTTTTTCCATTAATTACATAATTTTTCTATATTTTCATCCAGTTCAGCTTCTTCTATCTCTCCTTTCTAGCTGTGTCTCTGCTGCAGCTGATGTCCAGGTTTATATTTAAAGGAAAAGTCGCTCATATTCAGAATCCAAACTTCTGAAAGTTCTTTAAATCTGAAATGATTCCATCCTGTTCAATAAATGATCAGTGTTTCTAATTCAGAGTAATTTTCATGTGAATGTGCTTTACTGGAGGCATCCATGTTTGTCAAAGAACACTACTGCCACCTACTGGTTAGTGACGTCACGGTGCGGTATCGGCTGTTGATCAAGTCCCAGTGCTGTATCTGGTGTTTGTCACAACGCGCTATTATCCAAGTCATCTTGAAAACATTCTTCTTCCAAATGTTGGCTACATATTACGGGTTTTTTCTCTGGCCAGAAGTTCGATGGCAAATCCTCCCTCTTCAAGTTGGCGATCCAACGACCAACCCGTCCGTGGAGGATCAGGAATCAGAAAGGTGGAATAACTCTTTTTTTCACTTTTACCCGATGTATTCCAGCATCCAGCTGCCATGCACGTGGGCATTGTCAGTTTCACTATAGCTCTGGTGAATTTCAATGGTGAAGTCCTCTGGAAATCTTCAATAATTGTTGTTGATTGCAGATGTGTCTAGTAGTTCCCATTGATTTAGCTTGGAAAGCGGGGAGAATGGCGCTAGGCTTACCGCACCGTGACGTCACTGCTGGAAGATGGCAGGAGGGAGGGGCTACTAGATTTGGGCAAAAATGGCCGCTCCTGGACTGATTGATCTGAAATTATTTTTTATTTTCTTTACTTATTATTGCTAAATTCATTAAATCATCGCTAACATATTAGTTTTAGGTATAAATAAAGATCCATTGATGAATCCAGCAGCTAATCCACTGCCTTTGTTTAACCCTATTAAACGGTTGACGCCATGATGTCATTCTGCTTCCCTCCACCATCTTTGTTCTCTCTGCAGCCAAAGGCCCTGATCTACTAACAGACACAATACATTATTATCAGAGACTAAAGCTTCTCATTAATGAACTCACCTAATCTGTAACAGACATTTTAGGCATTTGGAAGGAGGAACTCTACAGTTCATTAAGCTCAACTCCTTTTTTCTGTGGATCTGGTGATGATCTTAGATCCTCTGGTGTCAGCGCAGGGACCGTCCTCGTTACCAGAGCAGACCATGTGACTGAGCAAACCTTTGCATCTCGTCACGGTGGATTCAGGAGCCGTCTCCATGGTTACATGATTATAAAGGGAGACAGTTAAGCTCTTCCTGATGGAGAGCCTTGGCAGCCTAACTAAAGCAGAACAGATGCTTTTATCAACTATGGTAACTCCTCCTGAACTACGGCCACCAAGCTTTAAAAATCTCTCTTTATTTTCAAATCTAACCATAAGTTTTGTTAATGATCTTTTTCCAGGACGGGTTCTGTAAATTTGGAGTCTGTTCATGAAGCATGGAGCCGCCGATGCAAAGCTGGCAGCTTTGAACTGTCCAAGGGTTTGAAAGCTGTCTTCGGTAAAATGCTTTGAGCAAATGAACATTGGAGCATCAAACTCTGCAGGGATCTTCTGATGGACAATATGATCCATGCCTGTTGAGTCTCTGGATCCTTGACGGTGAAAATGTTCTGCTTTCTCCGGTCAGCCTGTAACGCTGTGTTTCCGCCCGTGGTTCTGGTTCATTTTAAGGAAACTTCCTGCTTTGTAATCCTTGAAGTAAAGCTAAACTGCTGTCTTCCATCTTCCTTTATTCATGTTCCTGGGCCGTGAACCAGTGGGCTGGTCTGGATCTACATTTCAGGTTGGACAAAAGTCCAGGCCAGAAACAAATAAGGCAACATCCCCAAATTTACGTCAACTCATTGCTTCGTTTGGATTCACCTGTTTTATGGTGGAAGTTTAGAATAGTGAGATTAACAGAGAAAGGAGGCGTTGATGGTTTAAACTTCTCTGTACGTCCGTTTCAGCCACTGAACCATCGTTATTCATCTATGATAATGGAAACTGCATCTATGACCCCTTTAAACATATAATTTTAAAACGGTGCTAAATTTCCAATCCCATAACTCCTCTGATCAACCTTTAGCAGGTAGGAAAGGATCGGTTAGCAGCAGAAACTGTGAAAGTGTTCATCATCGTTACGTCGTCTCCATCAAAGCCCAGATTCAGCTCTGCTGCTCTGAGAAATCCTCCTTTTGGAGGAAACTATAAATATTCTTCCATGGAAATTCCCTCCAAATGTTTATCCACAGAATCCGTGGTTTTAATCCAGAGCAGCATCAATAAAACATCCTGGCAGGACGCTAAAGTTTCACCTTCATATTTATTAAACTATTTATTTATAGTTTTTAAACTTTTCACTGAAGTAGAATGTTATTTTTTCTGTGAAGTTGGTAGCAAAGTGTCTCTGTGAGCATGGTTTATGTAAAGCACACCAAGCTCTCCACTGCTCCTCCCCCCCACTCCAACATACATCATGTTCACCCCCTCCTCACCCCTCCCTCCCTCCAACAACTTGCACGTCTCTGTAAGACAAACCGTGTTTTCCTTCAGTCAGCTCCAGCCCCCGTCCCACCGCCTGCTGCTCCTCATCTCCGTTCTTTTGGGCAGAAAGTGAATCCAGATCCAGGCTGGAAGCAGATCTCCATCAGAAAACGATGATGGACTTCCTGCTCCGCTGCTCCGCTTTTCTCCTCTCAGCTTCTGTGTTTGGCTTTCCTTCGGCCCTGAGCCGGGAGCTGAGGGACGGAGACGCTTTCTGTGACGCAGACGGCTGCTTTGTCGTCTACTTGGAGCGTAAGATCTTCCTGGACTCATGGAGGTCCTGCAAGGAGCGAGGCGGGAACTTGGCTACCATCAAGCGCAGAGCGGAGGCCGCCTCTATAGCCGCGCTCTTCTCCTCTCTGGACCTGCGGGGGTCACGCGCCGAGGTCAAAGTGTGGATCGGGCTGCAGCGTCAGCCTCGTCAGTGCAGCTCCCATCCGCTGAGAGGTTTCTCCTGGACAACCGGCGACCAGGACACGGAGTACACCAACTGGCAGAGGGAGAAGCCCCCCGGCATGTGCGGGGTGCCTCGCTGTGTGGCGCTGGGGTTCAGCACTCAGGACCGCAGGGAGAACTTCATGTGGGGGGACCGGCCGTGCTCCGACCCCGTCGACGGATACCTTTGCCGCTTTGCTTACAGAGGAATGTGTCCTGCCTTGAGGAGCGAGGGCGCAGGAAGCGTCTCCTACTCAACGCCGTTTGATCTTGTCAGCACCCTCCTGACTCACCTGCCGCCCGGATCCAGCGCCAACGTCCCCTGCCCTGCAAACACCGGCGGAAACAAGATGGTTGTTTGTACGCTGAGAAAAAACGGGCAGGTGGAATGGTCTGAAGAACCCCCGCTCTGCCCGGTTCCCCCCGTTTCAAACCGGCGGTGCACACAGGGTAACGGAGGATGCGACCATGTCTGCAGGGAACGGTTCGGCCGGGTGGTCTGCGAATGCATCCAGGGCTTTTATCTCCAGAGCGACGGGTGGAGCTGCGAGCCCGACGTCTGCCGGGGGAACCGCTGTGAGTTCGATTGCCTGCCTCGTTCAGACGGGTACGAGTGCGCCTGCCCCCACGGATACCAGCTGGCATCGGACGGACGTTCCTGTCCAGATGTTGATGAGTGTCTCCGGTCTCCGTGTCCACAGCTCTGCCAGAATCTACCGGGAACCTTTGAATGCCGATGCAGGGAGGGTTACCTTCTCACCCCCGAGGGGGTTTGTTTGGACGTAGACGAGTGCTTGAATGGAGCGTGTGAGCATTACTGTATAAACACTGAGGGCTCCTATTCCTGCAGCTGTGAAGCCGGGTTTTCCGTGGACAGTGAGGAACCCGGCCATTGCGTCGATGTGGACGAGTGCCGGATTGCGGGGCTGTGCGAGCAGCTGTGTGTGAATCATGTGGGCGGTTTTCAGTGCTCCTGTGTGGAAGGCTACCAACTTCTATCTGATCAGAGGAGGTGTCAGAAAATGAGTCTGAGCGGATCCGTCACACCTCCCTCTCTGACGGTTCGCTGGCCTGATTTCGGACGGGATCCCTGGACCCCAGAGCCCAGCAGCGACCGCCGGCTGCTAAATCCGGAGCCGACGGCTCCATCATCAGCCTCTGACCCTGAGGTCACCGAGGTCACCGGCGCCTCTCAGGATCCTCCTTCCCTTCACTCTGTGACACAAAGATCTGAGCTGGAGCAGAAACCTCAGTGGGAGGTAAAAACTGCAGAGACTTTGGTCTTTACCGCCACGTCCCTCAGCTCTCTGTCACACCCGCATGAGGCTGATGAAGACGACGCTACCTCAGCCCTGCCAGTCCTTCCCACCTCCACCATCTCAGAGGGAGCTTGGAACTGGTGGCCGGAGGTTTCCACTTCCTCTCAGCGTTCAGAAACTCCTGCAGAGACACAAACGGATCCAGACAGAGGAGGAGAAGCGGAGCAGCGTCCTGGTGACCACGCCCACTTCCCAGGACAGACGTCTGGAGATGATGCTACCCGCTCCACTGTTCCCACTGAGTTTAGCCCACTCCCCCCGGACGGGGAGCATGAACAGATCAACACGGCGGTGCTGGTGGGCGTCCTGGTGTCCGTCTGCGTCCTCATCGTGTTGATGGTGGCGGCGGCCGTTTGCTGCCGTGCTCGTCATCGGGGCGTGAAACCCAGGAACAAGAACGCCACCGAATGCTACCACTGGATCTCTGATGCTCATGGGAAGCAGGGGGCCCTCGGCCCCTCGGCGGGAGACAGATCCCCTGTTTGAACCGCAGGCAGAAACACAGAAACTGTTTTATTATAGAATAAAAAAACAACAATTGATGAACTTGAAGAGCAGCTGGGATCAAAGCATTCAGAGTTTCTGGAAACTTTTAAGTTTATTTTACATTTAGACTTTTCTATGTTTTCATGTTGATTAATTTCAACAACAGAAAAACAATCGACAGCAAAGACGTTACAGAAACATGAGATCCACACGACCTGTGGGCGTGTCCCCATGCTCTGATAGGGGCCCCATGTCCTCAGCACAGGGGCCAGCAGGGGCCCCACCGCATGTCACAGTCGACCTCGGCTCAAACACCTGATTAATCTCTAATGATGAACTTTAAGGCGTTCATCAGCAGAACTGTCTGGCAGTGGTTCACGGTATGGAGGGAAATCAGCGCCATTATTGCAGGCAAAGAATATTAAAAAAATAACATGAAATACAGAAATTAAATGTTTGAAAAATAAATGTTTTCATTGTTACTTTGCTGTTTTTTTAGATGTTATGTTTTAAATTTTCACTTTTTCCAAAAAATTCTTGTTTTTTTTTTTTTTAAATGAACAGGTTTACATTTAAATTTTACATTTTTATTATTTTTCTGTCAAGATTGAGTTTTATGAATTGCATATTTTCAAATTGTTTTCATCAGATAATTTCTTTTCACCTAAAGACCAATAAAAATGTTGCTAACATCCAGCAGAAACATCTTTTCTCTGGAAAATAACAACATTTTTATTATATGAAAACATTAAAGTTTCTCTCAACTGAAAAATACACTGGTTTACTGTATGGAAGGAAAAATGTTCCTTTATTAGAGGCAAAGAAATGTTTTAAAAATACATGAGGACAGAAATTAAATGTATGAAAAAAATGAATATTTTCAGAGTAACTTTGCTGTTTTCTTAGATTTTATTTTTTAATTTTCACTTTTTCTAAATACTTTTTTAAACAAATACATATTTTACAGTTTTAGCTTTTCTTATTTATTTTTTTAGATTGAGTTTTATGAATTGCACCTTTAAAAATGTTTTTTCTACAGAACACTTTCTTTTTCATTTGAAGACCAATAAAATTGTTGATAACGTTCAGCAGAAACATCTTTACTCCAGAAAAAAGGCAAATGGGATCTGCAAAAAATAATGATTTAGAAAACATGAAATGAAAAAAAAAAACATATATGTAACACATTTTTAATATGTGAAAACATTGAAGTTTCTCTCAAAATCTTTCTTCTTTACGAAGGTTGGCAAGTTTTCATTTTTCTAAGGCGTTTTCTGTTTGCAACAATAATGGCACTAAATTGTCTCCATACTCAGGCCTGTTTGATCCACTGAAAAATACTGTGGTTTACGGTATGGAGGGAATTCAGTGCCATTATTGCAGGCAAAGAATATAAAAAAAATATCAAAAAATAACATGAAATACAGAAATTAAATTTTTGAAAAATAAATGTTTTCAGAGTTACTTTGCTGTTTTGTTTAGATGTTATGTTTAAAATTTTCACTTTTTCAAAAAAATATTTTTTTTTTTAATGAACAGATTTACATTTTTCTCATTTTTTTTAGATTGAGTTTTATAAATTGCAAATTTTCACAGATAATTTCTTTTCACCTAAAGACCAATAAAAATGTTGCTAACATCCAGAAGAAACATCTCTTCTCTGGAAAATAACGACATTTTTATGATATGAAAACATTAAAGTTTCTCTCAACTGAAAAATACACTGGTTTACTGTATGGAGGGAATATGTTCCATTATTAGAGGCAAAGAATAGGTTTTAAAAATATATGAAACACAGAAATAAAATGTTTGAAAAAATGAATATTTTCAGAGTAACTTTGCTGTTTTCTTTCTTTTTAAACAAATGCAGATTTTACAGTTTTAACTTTTCTTATTTATCTTTTTTAGATTGAGTTTATGAATTGCACCTTTAAAAATGTTTTTTTTACAGATCACTTTCTTTTCCCCTGAAGACCAATAAAAATGTTGATAACATCCAGCAGAAACATCTTTGCAAATTGGATCTGGAAAATAATGATTTAGAAAACATGAAATGAAAAAAACATATATATAAGAAAATCCCTACACATTTTTAATATGTGAAAACATTGAAGTTTCTCTCAAAATCTTTCTTCTTTATGAAGGTTTGCAAGTTTTCATTTTTAGGTGTTTTCTGTTTGCAACAATAATGGCACTAAATTCTCTCCATACTCAGGGCTGTTTGATCCACTGAAAAATACTGTGGTTTACGGTATGGAGGGAATTATGTTCCATTATTGGATGCACAGACTATGTTTTAAAAAGGAAAATATATGAAATACAGTAATTAAATGTACGACAAATTAGTATTATCAGGGTAACTTTGCTTTTTTCTTAAATCTAAATTTTTAAATTTAAAAAAAAATTTTTGAACATGAACAGATTTTACATTTTTAACTTTTCTTATTTCTCTTTTTTAGACTGAGTTTTATGAATTGCACCTTTTTAAATTGTTATTTACAGATCACTTTCTTTTCCCCTGAAGACCAATAAAAATGTTGATAACATCCAGCAGAAACATCTTTGCAAATTGGATCTGGAAAATAATGATTTAGAAAACAATGAAATATATAACAAAAACATGCATAAAAACATTTTTAATACGTGAAAACATTAAAGTTTCCCTCAAAAGATTTTTTCATTATGAAGGTTTGCAAGTTTTGATTTTTATAAGGTGTTTTCTGTTTGCAACAATGTTTCAGTTATTTTTCAATTCAGTTTATTTCTATGGAGCTGCCAATCACCAGAGTGGGCTTCTCAGTGGGTGTGTCACTGAGTGGGGAAAACCGGTTAGAAACGTGAACGGGTTGGTGGTGACCAGTGGGCAGAGATCCACGACTACGCTTTCTGCGTACAGTTACCCAATCGCCTGGCTGCTCAGGCACTTTTGGAGGACAGCTACGTGGGGGGCCTACTTTAACTCCTGGATGTTCAACAGCCTGAAGCCTGGATTCTAACTCTGACACCCTCGCCTCCAAAGCTACAAAAATACTACACTTATTACACATCCCATTATCACTAAAGGAGGCAGAGGAATAACTGAACATCTGACACAGAGAGCAGGAGAGAGGAGAGGAAGAAGGAAGAGTTGGAAAAGAGTCAAGGGAGGGAGAGAGAGAAGCCATAGCAATGCTAAGCTAGCGCTAGCCTAGGCTAGCTACTTCTTGCTATCAGAAATAAAACCGTGTGAAACTGACAAGTGCTCAGTAGAAAAGTGCAGCAGAAGGCGCTATGATTTAATTCTGGTCAGTTAGAGTTACTGAGATACAGAGATATCACAGAAAAAATGACTTAATCCAGACGGAGATCGTCTGGACTGCTGCAACACTGCTCAAAGTGAATACGATATGTACACCAACAGCAGCAGTAGCACCCTCTAGTGGCAGGAGCAGCAACCGATCTCCTTTCACTCATAATGGCACTAAACCCTCTATATACTCAGAGCTGTTTGATCCACGGAAATAAAACGTCAGTTTGCAGAATGTTTGCTTCTGGGAATCAGTTAAATATTCACTCTATGTTAAATTTACATCGATTCAAAATATCCTGATATTTAATTAGACGATACTGGTATTCATTCAAAAATATAAAGAAATGGATTTTAAATGTAAAAATAATATTTATAGACATATCCTGTCATATACCATCCAGCCACTAGATGGCAGCAAACCACCAGAGATATAACATACAGATCAGACTATATTCTCCTTGACAATTTATTAGGATCACATGTCTCACCAAGTTCACCTCATTTCTCTACTTTTGCAGAAATGTTTAGACTAGAATTAAAGCAGGTTTTAAATCTGTAGTTTTTATTGAAGATCAAGTCTCTGAGTTCCTGAGACTGTGTGTGTCAGAGTCTAACTAGGGAGTACCAATATGTCGGCCAGTGGCTTCACTTCATCCCCATACTACCAACGGGCAATCAGCCATCAGTGAAGAATAGAGAAAAGGGTGAGGGAGTAGCCAGCGAAAGGTTATAAAGTTCTTCATATCAGCTGACTTCCTGTAAATGAGGATGGAGGGGCGGAGGGAAAAATCAGGAAACACTCACTCTGAAGATTAGGTGGATTAAAACCGCTTTCCGTCAGAAATTAAAGGTAAAATCACATTTTAAACTAACTTTACTCAGATAGTTTTTCTCTCTGTGAGGAGAAAGACATTAACTCTGATCCTCTGATTGGTTCTCTGCTCACACCGAGGGTTACTTTCTCTCTGCTGCTGTCAGCAGCAATAAATCTCTTTATGCTGATTGGTTCTGGTTCTGCAGAGGAACAAAGAACCTCTGCTCTGTGTTCAAACCAAGGTGGCTCTGGTGGTTTCTGTTGTGACTTTTTATTCAAACTTATTAGTGAAGCATTTTAGAACAAGAACAGACCTGTTTGTTCTGGTTCTTCAGCTCTGATATCTGTTCCTGCAAACAGGCTTTCCTCTGACTATGGGGGGGTGGGGGTTGGGGGGGTGAAAGCATACCCAGTTTTTCTTCTTTTTTGTCTTTTTGTGACTGAAATATTTCTGAACATCTCATATCAGGCACAGCCCTGAGGTTTTGTGTTTGGGCCTCACAGGTTGCCACTCAGGGTCCTTGAGCCAGAACCTTAAGCCCAGACTGATCCTCTGGAGCGGCAAAATGTCAGCCTTAAACAATAAAACTATAAAACAAACATAACAGCTTGTTTGAAAGTCCTGGGGGAGTGGCAGCCTAGTGATTACGGCATAGAGCTTGGAATCCTGAGGTTATGAGTTTGAAACCCAGTCTCACAGACTGCCACTGTGGACCCCTGAGCAAAGACCCTTAACCCCCCACTGCTCCACAGGGTACCCCACAATGGCAGCCCACTGCCCCCAAGGGGAGGGGGTAAATGCAGAGAGGGAGTTTCTCTAATGTATTTTGAAGTAAACAATGTTGAGAATGTCTGTTCTTAGCCTCACAGGCTCCAATCATTTCAATTCAGTTTATTTCTATAGCTCCAAATTCACATCATGTCATCTCAAGGCACTTTACAGCCAGATCATCCAGTCAAATTGATACAAAAGTTTTCTATCTAAGGAAAACCAGCTGATTGCATCGACTCATTGACTCTTCAGCAATCCCTCACACTAAGCATGCTTGTAGCGACAGTGGAGAGGAAAAACTCCCTTTGAACAGGAAGAAACCTCCAGCAGAACCAGGCTCAGTGTGAGCGGCCATCTGCTGAGGCCCACTGGGGTTCAAGGAGACAGAAGCAGACATAGAAAAAGAAGCATAGATACAAAAGGCAACTGTCCGATGGAGCTTGGCCATTTAAGGCTTTATATGTGAGAAGGAGGATTTTAAATTCTATTCTGGATTTAACAGGAAGCCAATGAAGAGAAGCCAGGATAGGAGTGATATGATCTCTCTTTTTCATTTTCATCAGAACTCTGGCTGCAGCATTTTGGATCAGCTGAAGGCTTTTAACTA